TAAAAATTTTACGTACAATAGCTATATTAAAACATGCAAAAAGTTTTAAAACGATAAATATTAGTCTTCCTTATAAAAAAAAATTACGAAGAATCACTACTTTTTCGATCTCCTAATGTAAGAGACTCCCTCCCTCCCTCCCTCCCTCCCTCCCCCTTCCATCCCAACCAGAACATTCGTAGTAACTTAATGTTACTTGTGAATATTAACCAAGAGCTATACTGTTAAAAATGTAACTACGACTTTCTTTTATATGTAAATAAAGCTCGTGGTTATGAACGAAATTAAAAATAATGAATAATTTAAATAAAAATTAAGTTACAATAGTTACTTAAATGTAAGAAATGTGTACATTACATTTACAAAATTCATAAAATTTTATAAATAATACATTAAATTTCATGTACATGTACACAAATATAGTATACTTTTCAGTTATAAATACACTACATTTAATGTAATGTCATGAAATTAAGTTTAAATTTAAGTGTACTTACAAGTATATTAAATTTCATAAAATTGTTAACAGTGTACAAGTGAGCGTGAAGCACGTGTGGTCTCTGAGCACTTCATAGACCAAAGCGCTATTTCGATCTCTTGCAAAAACAACTTATCAGATGCAATTTTACTAAAGGAAAAAATTGTTTTTTTTAAATACCGTGTTTTGTATTCCATGAGCGCGAATTTAGGGTCATCCTGTATATGTATTGTGTGTGTATATATACAGGATGTCCCGCAATTTTTTGCTAAGCGCTTTTGTAGATAGAGCGGATTAACTGAGTCGAAAAGTCCTTTACCATTTTGCAATTTTCGCAATAGTTAACGAGATATAATACTAAAAATTATCAAATATTAGCCTTCAATAATTTTTTATTTAAATATTTTTTACTTAAATATTATTATTTACTTCATAGAAAAACAGCAAGAGACAAAAATTGTTTACTTTCATCTCATATTTAAAGCTATGAGAATTTTTTCGGAATTTTTTAATACCGTATTTTCTCATGTTGGTAAAAATAGTTGCCAATTAGAAAATGCAGTACTTAAAAGTTGATTAAAAAATTCAAAAAAAATTCTTAGATCTCTATGAGTCGAATAACGCGTCAAATAAGCCTAATCACTAATTTTTTTAGGTGCGTAGGTAACTAAACTGAATAATTACCTATATTTTTATTTTTCTCTTAAAAATTTTTCTCTTAATAAATATTTACTAAATATATTTATTAAAGTTTAAAATATACATTATGTTTCAATTATTTAGAAAAAATTATATAAAAATTTTTACATTTAGATGTATTTTTAAGAGTTTGAATTTTTGTAACTGGTGTCCTAGTTTCTCATATATTATATATATATATACACACGCGCGCGCACACACACGCACGCACGCACATACATATACGTACACGGCACACGCGCGCGCGCGTGTGTGTGTGTGTGTGTGTATGAATATAGTAATTATATGTACACAAATTTTCTTGTAAAAAAACTAGATCGATTTAAATGAAAATGACATCATGTTCAGTTTTTGCTGCCAATCATCAGGTTATGTTAGCCGGTTTTGCTTGATTTCTGATCTGCTGGTACAGCCTGTCATCAAACTTTGACTGTTTTCCTTTTAGGAGACATAAATTCAAAATTGACACAGTTTAACATACTCGAACACGATTTGCCACATTTAAATGGAACGTGATATGCAATGTATGTGCAAACTTTTAATGTCTAACCTTTTAAAAGATTTTGGTCAAAGAACATGATCAAGGAACAGAACAAAATTAGATAAGAATTGGTTTGCATGTGCATTCTAATATCATTAGATTTATCAAAATCGTACTTGACACACTCTGACTCTCCTCTCTAGCAGAGGCAAAGTGTACCGATTCAGAAAATTATAAATGAAAAGCGACATGTGTCAATTTGTGTGAAATGCATCGACTGTATCTCTTAAAAGGAAAGCAGCCTTTATCAGCAGATCCATAGGCAAATGCTGACATAGATGGCTATGGTTTTATAGTAGAAATCCACTCGAGTCCAATTTAGTTACAATTTGCTAGTATTTTGCTATCAGGGAATTCAGAATTTTCTTTGAAAAAGTACAAACATTACTGATAGTAATGTTTGTACTTAATTACTGATACATAACGAAGTACATAATTACTGATTTTATGATTTTGTCATAACATGTGTAATACAATATATATGTATGTATATAGTTATCTCGCAAGAATTAAAGATATATTATTATGATCTAAAATGTATCAGAGAACATACCTAGTTCAACTGTGCTTACGTCTGACCAATTTTCATGATCCTCATCTGGGCCACTATGTGGAGACTCTGTAAAATAATTTCATTTCAACATTAGATATTTGAACACAATATCATTTTCACATCTATATAACATATATTACAGATTATAAGTATAAACTAAAAAAAAATGATAGTAAATTTATTGTAAAGGATTCAACTATATGTACAGGCTGAGTTAACTTTATATTAGCTAACATTTACACATTATATGCTAATATTTCACATTTGAAACTACCAATTATATATATATTTTTTTTTCATGTAATCGATATATCGTATGTTTTATAGGATTTATAGTACATGCGCATCAAGTAACTCGGTCCTAAAAACATACCTACTATAGGTATATCGCCGTAATCACTTTGTTCAGTGTCATAATCCTCATCAATATCCATTATTACTTATCAAATTACGATGTAGATGATCTGTTTAATTCGTTTGTAAGCACTCTTAAACTAATATCCTTCCATATATACACAGAACATATATAACGCCATATGCACTTCTGACATTAGGACAGGATTGTACAAATTTGTGACAGAATCAGATAGAACTAACAAACGATGCAGGATGATATTGGTGGGAGTTATTTGGGCATGCGCAGATATGGTTCCGTAAATTGCTCGATATTTTAAGCTGGAATCCCTATACCTAGAGTCTTCAAGGTGCGATTACATAGGTCTGTTTTTTTTCACAAACTTGCATAACCGCATAAACATATGCATAAAGAAAATCATCCAATCGTATTTTACGTTTGCCTTTATGACAGAAATGTGATTGGATAATTTTCTTTATGCATATGGTTATGCGGCTATGCAAGTTGTGTGGAATGGCCCTTAAGGTAAAATAGATATACATTTCATCAGAGAGAAATCTGAGAGAAGATAACGAGAAGATAAATTCAAAACTTGTAATCGCAAAAAGCTGCCACGCACTACTGCCCTCTGACAAAGTGGATGGAAACTATATAGCAATGTCTACTTTTCTTAGGGTATACCGTTCACTTTTCAAGGTTGGAGATGATAAATCGATATTTGGTTCATACAATCGTATTATATGTAGCGCGGCAGCATTTTGTGGTTACAGGTTTTAGACCGTCACATCCTCTCTTAGTTTCTCTCTGGTTTTATATTCGTTTAAAGCGAGAAAAAGAATTTTAGAATAGTCTAGTGCAGAAACAAAAACAGACCAGTAGTGTAGTACAAAAAAAATTTTACTCTGCTATAATATACGTTACATATACTATATATTGTGAGTAAAATTTTCCTCAGAGAGGAAGTTTTAGAACGTAGCCTAAGTAACTATAGGAACCGCGCAAACTTCTGTGCCGCTTGTTTCTTTTCTCCTCTATTAAGATGCATTTTCACGAGCTCAAACTGGCCATTTCAGCGACAAAGAAGATCACGTGACGACTTTTGTCGTAAAACTATTAGAGCGACAATTTTATACATAAAAAAGGACAAGAAACGTTAAATTTGACATTTAAGCGACAGATTCAATATGTTGTTCGTATTTTTCATATATCATTTGCGATATTAATATGCTGAATTAAAAAGTTATTAAATTATTCTGAACGTATAGAATACTCTATTTGGATCACTAATAAAAAATAAATAAATTAGGTTATGTATATCGCAGTCAACTGTGGTCAACACGGTCGAGACATTGAAATTATTCAATGAAATTGAAATTATTTGATTGAAATGATTCAAACTACAAAATTTCAGCCGCTGGATAACGAGCGACAAATTTGTCACTCCAATTGCTTATTTTAGTAGCACGTGAAATTGTACCTTTACATGTAGCGCGGTAAGCGATACAGGCCAGTGACAAATTCACGTTACTAAGCACTTTTTAATAGAATTAATTGATTTAAATGCAATTATATTAAATAAATTCGTTGAACAAATAAGAGTGTCAACATAAAGTTTATTTGTCACTAGCCCCTGTAGAGTAGGTATAAAGAGAGTGATTAATTAGCCGGAACCTTTGATGTCCTACATTTGGGGTATCTAAATGACGCAATTCTTCGTCTTAACCTCTTCTTTCTTTAATGTTGTCTTCTTCTAATTAATAGTAAACAACACCTAATAGCGTAACCAATCAGCGTTAGGCACATGCATTGGCGCCACTCTCTTTATACCCCCTCTAAGCCTGTCTACCGCTTAGCGCGCTATCTGTAATAGACAAGCAGAAAGAAACTTGAAAGAGAACATGCCAGCCTAAAATCTGTAATCGCAAAATGCTGCAGCGCACTTTGCTCCTGTAAACTACATAGCTTTATGGTAACCATTCATTTTTCTAAGGGTAATATGTCCACTTTTCTGAAGGGTAATACGTCCACTTTTCAACTCCAGATGATAAATCAATACTTGGTTTATATAATCGTGCTACATTCACAAATTATGCATCAGAAACATTCATCTCTGCAATCTTACATGCGCGTGATGTTTATTTCGCTTAAAAGAATTAAGGTTATATTATATTTTTACAAATGTGTTAATATTTATATTTTAAATAAGCTATATACATATGAATTAAGTAGTATTTCAAGCATTTTATTTTTATTAAACACATTTTTATAATATATTTACTTTATTTGTTATTATTTTCTTATTACAATACTCAAATTTAAAAAGCATATAATGACAAAATTAATATAAATTTTTTTTGTATAACTTTATGTATTTAAAAAATGCAATTATAAGTTTCATTGCGACGCAAACATTAGGTATTTAATAAAATAAGGAAATAATATATTTTGTTAACAATAACATAAATTAAAAGAAGAGCCGATGAGCCAAGCTGGTTAATTATATGAATGCTTGTAATTATAAATTTTTATACATCAAACAATGTCAAGAATTTCAATCCGAAATATTTTGTTTATTTACAGAATAATATTGGGAGTATAAATAAGTTTCCGCCGTTTGACAAACAATGGCGCTATCAGTATGTTATAGTTAAAATTGTCAGCTGTAAAACATCATATCGTAAGGTTGGACATCTGGCAAGAACATAACCTTGAAATATTAGCGATTTTGCATCAGCATCTTATATCTTTTTTCGTGCGAAAATGTCGAGTTTTGAGCTGAATAAGCATCATTTGCGGAAGCTTTTGATTTACTTCTGTAATTTGAAGAAATCTGCAGCTGAGACGCATCGATTGCTTGTAGAAGCATATGGTGAGGCTGCTTTAAGTGAGAGAAGTTGCCGTGAGTGGTTTCAAAAGTTTAAGAACGGTGAATTTGACGTCGAAGACAAAGAACGTAGCGGAAGGCCGAAAGTGTACGAAGACGCGGAATTGGAAGCATTATTGGATGAAGATTCGTGCCAAATGCAAGAAGCACTTGCACTTACATTAGGAGTGACTCAACCAGCAATTTCACATCGCTTAAAATCGTTGGGAATGATTCAAAAGCAAGGAAATTGGGTTCCATATGAACTGAAGCCAAGAAACGTTGAACGCCGATTTTTCACATGTGAAATGCTGCTTGCATAAACGAAAGGGTTTTTTGCACCGTGTAGTCACTGGTTATGAAAAATGGATCCACTATGATAACCCAAAGAAGAAGAAATCATGGGGACCACCTGGCCATGCTTCAACATCGACAGCCAAGCCGAACATTCATAGGAAAAAGCTCATGTTGTGTATTTGGTGGAATCAGCTAGGTGTCGTTTATTATGAGTTGCTCAAACCGAACGAAACCATTACTGAGGCTCTCTACCGAACACAATTGATGAGATTGAGTCGAGCACTCAAGGAAAAACGCGCCCACTACTACTCCAGACACGACAAAGTTATTCTTCTGCATGATAACTCGTCCACATGTTGCGGCGGTCAAAACCTACTTGGAAACACTCAATTGGGAAGTTTTACCCCACCCGCCGTATTCACCAGACACTGCTCTTTCTGATTACTACCTGTTTCGATCGATGGCGCATGACCTGTCTGAGCAACACTTCACATCATATGAAGATACCAAAAATTGGGTCGATTCGTGGATAGTTTCAAAAGATAAAGCGTTTTTCCGTATGCTGCCAACTTTACATAATACAATACATCTTGAATATTTAAAGAACTTATAAAAAGTTAAGATTTTTGCAATTATCTTATAATATATATATATTTCCATACATCTCTATTAGAGCACAGAAAAAAAATACTGTTTCTTAATAAAATTATTTTTTATATACATTCTCTAAACCATCGATACATTTTTTAATTTCTGTATTTTGTACACGCACGCATGCACGCACGCACGCACTCACGCACGTGTATATATGTATGTTACATATATGTATTTTATACATATATGAGCTAAATGTAGGCTATAATTATATATATTATATGTATATTTACGTTTACGCAATTTTTCTTTTGCTGTAGCTAGTTGCTAAAGTCTAGATAGAGAATTAACATTTGATATTGATGTGCTTGTGTGCGAACGTGTACATATATAAGGTATGTCTGAGCATATATTAAATTGTTTAGAAAGTTTGTTTCAAATTTTGTTAGCCCAAAATTGTATGTACATCTCCATTAAAAATAAACGAAATTTAAATTTAACAAAAAGGTTTCAAAGCTTGAAATTTCTACTTTGAAAGCTTACTATGTTTTTTGAGTTTATGTGAGTTGTATAATTTTGACATACAAAACTACGAATTGAAAAAAATGAAAAAAATTTTTTTCTTTATAGATCTGTGACCATTCCACTATTTATCGTGAAAATTTGAGGTTTTTGTTACAAAACTGTTTTTTTTAATATTCCTATAATTTTCTTATTTTGAATTAAATAAAAAGATGCAATCTAACTTTGATTGCTCATTAGTCCGACAAAAATCATCGTATCACAATTAAAAAAACCAAATCTAAAGCTGAAACGTTGCTCTATCGAGTGATAAATGCCAATTTTTTGAAAAATAGAATATATATGCATTTGAGCTAAAAATATAATATTACTTTCCTTTTATAACTATTGCGCAATGATTGCAATGAAAGTATAGTCATATTTTTAACTCAAATTTATATATTAAATTTATATATCAAATAGAGAACGCCAAGTGCATGCGTGCGTGTATGCGTGCGTGCGTGCGTGTACATATATTATTAAATTACAATTTCACATTTAATTACAATTTTGATGCAATATATTATTTTTCATAATTATATAATTATTATATATTATTTACGTAATTATTTAATTACAATTTTCATATAATATTTAATCAGTTATTATTTTTAATTTACTTATTACTGTTTAATATTATTTTTATATAATGAGTTCATTAACATTATATTATTATATTATATAATTCTGATTAAAAAATGTACTCGCTATAAACAATTTTCATGACATGACCGAATTATATCTTTTCTTTTTTTTAGAAAAATCATTCTATTGCTTTATGAAAACTCAAATTTATAAGCGCCTTTCTAACGCACAACATGGCGGCGAGTCATGTGACCTGGGACCCACTACATCAAAGGTACCGACGCTCAATGTCGATACTATATGTACTTACACTGCGACATGACGGTCCAAAACCTGTAATCGCAAAACGTG